AGACGCATTGATTGGTTGCCTCCAGCATGCGCCCCAACCAGGGCCAGGGATCAAACCTGCAACCCAGGGATGCACCCTTGACCTGGAGTCAGACCCGCGACCCTTCGGGGCACAGGCCAGCGCTCTAACCACCGAGTGCCACTGGCCAGGGCTGTAAAGTTAAAAATTAATCAGTACAGAAACACGTGGATGCCTTAGGAAAAGGCGAAGATACAGAAGCTAAAAGCCAAAGTACCAACAAATGAATGACCTCCGAGGGCCTCTTCACCCTGCAGCTGTAGTGAGGATGGGTCTCATCGAGGGGAGGAGCGGTGCAGTGAGTTTGCTGTGTCACCGGGAGGGGTATGGCCGCCGGTCACTGTCTTTCCGTGGCTGTCTAGAGGAGCTGGCACAGGAGTTAGTTTCTTTGCTAGTTCCCCTGTTTCAAAGCCAAGGGAGCTACATCTTCCAGATGCCTTCCCACTCGTGATAATTAAGATGAAAATAACTGTTACGCAACTCAGCCCAGCGAAAAAGCACTCTTCAGGTTTAGCCCCTTGAAAGTGGGGTTCACTGTCAGCGCCATTATTCAAGGAAAACAGGCGTGTGGACAGGGCCTGCAGGCAAAGGAGTCACCCCCTCTAAGCACCGCGGTTCAACATGCTGTCGCCCCAAACTGAGACGGAATGAACTCGGAGAGAGAACACGCCGAGTGGGAAAGGAGTGAGTACGTGTAAGATGAGTCAGGTCATCCGCAGGAATACTTTTTGGATGCCAAAAAATTTAAATCGTTGGAGAGTTGTTTTTGTTGCTTTTTTCATATATGGCGGCATTTTAGGAGCTTTCTTTTGCATAGAGGTGGGAGACAGAAAAGTATAAATGTTTGCCCTTCGAGGTGCAGAGTTCTGGCTGGCTGGCTATTAAGGTGGGGGGTGGGCCGTGGGAAAGGCCTGGTTTGGCCATCGCGCGTGGCTCCCTGGCCCCCTCCCATGCGGCCCAGGCCATGCAGACCCCGCGCAGTGGACTAATGGACCGAAACTGGCCTGATGCTGGGCTGGACCGGCTCCAACGTGGAAGGAAGCTCTGGACACTGCCTCTGACTCTAGCTCTGCCGAAGCCCCGGCTACGCTTCTGCTGTAACTGGACAAGGGGACATAGGACTTTGGAAATGCAGGGGTGTCACTGCGCGGAAATAAAGCTTTCTGTACTGCATCCTCCAGTGCTACTCTCAGAAATTCCCTTTTCTCTAGATATTGCAAGAACCCCACCCCCGACAGCGACGGGGGGAGACGAGGCACACTTCCCCCCGTAGCAGAAACACATAAATAATTGGTCAGCTTCTGCCCAGGAGCTCAGGGGCTGGTTATTTTTAGGGTCAGCCATTTTTCATGCCCTGGCTTTAGAACTCAGCGCCGTGTTAGCGTAGTGTGTGATTGCACGTGACCGTGTGGTAGGGGACACTGGTGTTCTGAGAAGTGAGGTGGCACAAAGGTAAGCGTGGTGTACCTTTTCTATGCACAGCCCTGTTTTTACTCTTGTAACTGCCTTCCCGGACGATTCATGACTTTTCGGCACAATTTCTTACTATTTGAACAGTTGTATTTTTCGTTGTAGTCAGCAGTTTACATTTCAATAATTATTACTTTTATATTTTTATTTATTATGCCCTTGGGACGTAGGCTCTATTTCATTTTTATTATTTTTCAGATAATTAGAAGCAAGTGTATGTCTAACCACTTAAATAGCTCCTTATGCTAAATTTGAACAAGTTGAAACCATAGCATAATTTTGATCTTTAAGGTTGATGAAAGAAGCCCTTTATGTAGGAAAGAAAAGATAGGAAGCTGAAAGCTTGGGGAGAGAATAAAGCTAACCTTGAGGAAGCAAGAACAGAAAAATAAAAAGACCAGCACCCCCCCCCGCCCCCCCCC